TGAAATCAACTCTCCCTGTACTTTGTCTTATTGCAAGATATTTTGATTAAGGTCTTGATAATGACTGACCATAATGACTGATGAAAGAAAATGGGACAATTAAAGCCAGTGATTCTTTCTTGCTGATGGCAACCTGTGATGCTATACTACAAGTCTTATAAGATTTGGGGGAGGAGAGGGGCAACACCAAGTAACCATACCACTTGCTTTAAAGAGGTCATTTTGGTGCACAAGACTAATCATGAAGACGCTAAAGAATCCCCCCCACCAAATCAAACAATGCAAAAACATAAGGACAATACTATTAATTATTATTATCAATGTTTATCTGATAAAATTCAAATATTACATTTCATACTTGAAAAGAAAATGATATATAATGTACAGATACCATAGAACAGATAAAGGACAAGTCATCGATCGTCTTGATACTCTTCAACAAAAGAAATCAATTCTGGGAACCATTTCCAACAAATAGACATGTATAATATTTTCAATTGACAGTCTTGTACAAAATTTGGTTCTGATCAAACACATTATTGGAAAAACCTTTTTCACAAAAGTAAATGGATCATCATCATCATCATCATAGCTGTGTTTTTTTGTTGAAGCAGGACAGGGATTAATCTTGCACAAAACAAGGCAGGTCCTGCTTGACAGAGGAGCTAGTTCAAGGCCCAATTTTTCTCACTTCCAAAAAATATCTTTGGGCTGTCCTCGTATTCTTCAGAGACCCGTTTGATAGGCCCCTTGCTGCACTCAACATGGCCACCTCAGTGTAGTCTATGGTTGCACAGCAGTGGCTCAAGGTCACTAAAGCCTAACTTCTCAAGAAGCGAACCTAACCAGACTTCATCCACAACAGACATGCCTCACATCCAGCATATCACGGCCCTGTCATTCCAACACAGGCAGTTGAAGTCCACCATCAACAAGGCCCCTGTCTCACTGTCATGCAGCATGGTGTCGTGAATGTACTCATGACATCTGGTCTTAGCCAGGAAGCAGCAGGATGTGAGAATTGGCAGCAGCTGGTGAAATTTCTTCGATATGACCTGGCAATGCTTACACCCGCAGCCTGAGGAGAAAGTGTCACCCAGGTAGCAGAAGGAGGCAACAACCTCTGTGGTGAATCTACCAACAACCACTTTGGTTAGTGGGCAGATGTTGATTAGTTGCATCTTACTTCTGCAATGCTTACATATGAAGTCAGGATCAGCCACTGGAGATGCCACTGCACTTTTTGTGGATCCAGCATGTGCAGCTGCTGCAGGAAATGGCATTGTTACCAATAGTAGCAAGGCAGACAGCACACTGTTCTTTGCCAGACTTCCTGAGCACATCCATACCCAGACCTGAGACAACTATCTAGGTCTTGCCCATGTTCACATTGAGGCCCTTAGTTTCATGCCTATCTTCCTGAGCACAGCCATGCCTGGGCATGAGACCACTATCTTTGTCTTGCTCATCTTCACACGGAGGCCCTTGCTTTCCATGCCAACCTTCCACAGCACAAGTTTCTGGTGCAACTCTTTTAGTGACTCTGCGATGATCACCAAGTTGTTTGCATATAGGATAACCCATGAGAACAGCAAAAGACTTTATAAACCCTTTTTAGACATGGATTGGTAAGATTTCATCATGGAATAACAAATTTAGGAAGAGAAGCGACTCAAAAGATATTTAACCATTGAATCATTTAAAAATTCAACAATTTGTTTGAAAGAGATCTGGATTTCATTCAAAAGATATTCCAAATGAATTGATGATCAAAAAGGAAAGACAGAAAATAATTTGTCTCCAAATTGTCTCTAAAAGGACAAAAAGGTTCACAAATTTCTAAAAGGAACAAAGTACAAAGAGTGAGAGAATGTTGTACCCCAGCTGGAGATCCACTATCTTCTCCAATATGCTGTGTCCCTTCAGGACATAGGTAAACATGGCTCTCCACATGTAGCTTCCAATAAATTTTGTCTTTTTGTTATCTCTTCTAAACCTTGTTCTGCCATCTGTTTACTCAAGCTCACTAAGTAGATTATGTGTTGTTTTTCTGTCTCTCTTGCCTTCAAACTGTCCTGTGAGTATCAGATTCTCCCAGCCCTCTTTCCTAAATATGTATATTAGAAATTTCAACTGTTTCTTCCTGATGAGAAGTATGTTTCCTTTTTTTCTAAAACTTTGTCATCGCTCACATGTTCAGTCCATGGTATCCTCGTTATCCTTTTCTAGATTCTAGTCTTTGTTGTCTGAAATCTCTCCATTATCTGTGTGTAGATTGTCCAGCATTTACTGCCATATAAAAGGACCGATATTGCACAACAGTTCAGTACTCTTTTCTTTGTTTCTAACAAAGGAACAGAAGCAAGAAAAATTAATAATAATTAAAAATACTTCAAAGATCAATCAATCAAAACTGACTGCAGTCAGGAGCATAGAGTCATTGTAAACACTCCACAATGCTTTCATTAGCTGCATAGTATGTGCTTTGCCAGGGCTACATACAGTTTTTGAATTCGTCGTCCTTCTCTTAGACTGGTTGACATCCAACGCTGAAGAGCAATCTGCACCTACTATTTAACCCATAACCAGGAGGATCTATACCTTTCCTAGGGGTATTTGCACAAAAGAGAATGTAATTAAACTTGACTGGAATGCGAACTCGGCTTTGATTTTTGTTCCAATCCATATTCCAGTACATCAGCAGCACATCCACTTCAAAGAATTTTATATATATTACATCTAATAATAATGAAGAGCCACAGAAATAGGACAAGAAATACTAGAAAAGAATAATTGCCAGTGCTTTATGTGTATAGAATTCAAATTACAATGCAAAGCCATACCTGAGAGATCTCCTAATAGTTCAGCAAATACGTCTTTGTGGATGGTGTCATAGCAGATTCCAACAACATGACAAATATCTGCAGAAAGAAAGAAAAAGTCATTTTATTTAAGAACTAGCTGGGAAGCCACCCTCTGGGTGCACTTTAGGCTAGCTCCTGTAGAGGGTTTGGGTCGTCGGTCTTTTACCTTCAGCATCCCATGTACGTAAAAGTTATAAGAATTTAGAAATAATATTATTTTATCTTTATTCAACACTTTAATTCGGCATAACCTTTCTTCATATACGCAACCGATATCCGTAGTTTATTTACATTTATTTTGCGCGCAATTTTTATTTTCTTTTTAAATGACCATTCTTTATGATCCCTTCATATAAAGTCACTCTTAATAGACATTAGGGAACTCGGACTATGTAATATTTCGAATACATCACAGTTTGCATGCTAGAAAAAGAAAAGAAACCCTATGAGCAACATACCGTACCCCACTTAAGTTTTAATTACAATTTAATTAGACAATATCAATTGCGATGAAAAGCGAAATTAAAGTTAAATCTTTAATAAACATTTATTTTTTAAACCTTTCACTCTGTTTGATATTTAAATTTAACTTTAAATAAGTTATTTAATTTTTGTGTATAACGACAGTAGTTACTACCTGTTACTTTAGGTTGTTTATGATTCACTAAGCTCAAGAAACGGATGGATGGACAGACACAGACAGACTGCGCATTATTTATTCTACAATATTTTATTTCTTTGAATAAATCGTGTCAAAATTCAACACCGCATGGATAAAGGGTGAAAGAACCTGAAAAACTTACACTTCCTGATTGAATCATCAAAACCAGTGATGCCGTATATCATATTTGGATCCTTGGCAATTTCAGCCTGAAAAAAAAAATAAACGGAAAAATCATCAAAATTGTATTTGTTGAGGAGGCATGAACCAAATTTATGGCTTTCAAAGAGTCAGAAAGCAGTGGAGATATGAGATGACCCTAAGAAAATGGGGCTGGAATTCTTATTTTAGAAGACCTTTTTACCTCCCATCAACATGCCTGATGCTAACCTCCAGGAGGATTGATTCACTGTGCCTTCTCAGACTGATGTTTTCAGTTGACATGAAGTGGAAAGATTATATTGAATCAAAGTCTGCAGCTAAGAAAGCTGGTTCATTATGTTGTGCTAGACAATTTTATCACCAGAATTTATCTTACGTATTTATCAGCCTACCATTCATCCTTGCTTTGAATATTGCTGCCACATCTGGTCTGGTGCACTTGTTATATATGTAGAGATTCTTGATAAAATCCAAAAAAAGAATCTGCAATGTTATTGGTCCTGACCTGGCATCTCCGTTTCAGTCCCTTTCCCATAACACAGCCTCCCTGTGCCTTTTCTATAAATATTCCCATGGTAATTGTTCTGATGAAGTTTCTGCTATGGTACCTAGACTTTATGAATTTAAGCGCAGTATTAGATTGGTGGCAATGTCTCAACATATTACAGTTGACATGGCTACGTTGTATGCTAACAGTTTTTTCTATGACACTTGTTGCTTGTGGAGTACTCTTCCAGCTTCTTGCTTCCCAATTGACTTTGATTTTCAAAAGTTAAAATGCAATGTCAATCATTATCTTCCGTTTTCTTAATTCTTGTTCTCTCTTAATAGTAGCTTTTCTTATATTCTCTAACACTTGGCAATCCCTTGCCTCCTAATGGCTTTATTGCCTTGTTTGAGGTGAAATGATTAAAAAATAAATAAATAAATAAAAAAAACCAAAAAGAAAGACATTTTTTCACCCAGTTTACAGAAAACAAATATTAAGGAAGTCTTTGATAGTACTCAGAATATATATAAGAAACATTAAACACAACATAGAAAAATATTACCAAATATAGTCAGATGTAAACTTACCCAGAATTCCTTGAATTGGCAAGTTTCCAAGATGTCAGCCAATTGGAAAATTTTTAGCATTTCCTCAGTTTCTTGCTAAAACCAAAGGTCAAGGAGAAAATGACTCACAAAATATGTTGGCTGTGCCAAATTCAGGAACTCTCAAGAGTTTCCTCATAGATTAAAATGAAAACGGTGCACTCTAATGAATACAGAGTTACTCCAAGCATGAATGTATCATTTTGAATATCAAGAACAGGATGCGCTGCCTTGAAGTTGGTAATCAGAGGGGACTTTACTGCACATGCAATAATGAGGTTAATCAGTCAGCAGTTAAACTTATGTGAGACTTGCATTCATAATGAGGTCTTGTGCAAAACATCAAATAACCATATCTGTCAGTTTTCATTTCCTGAAAATTATGGCCAATCCCAAATCTAAAAATTGGCTCAGAAAGGGAGACTGTGGACGAGATTATGGAGAACGTGATAATGCAGCTAATGGTGACGTTGAAAGAGGACTTTGCAGATCGTTTTGATAAGCTGAAGAGACAAGGTCAGGGTGTATGTGTTCTCAAGGGTATTTGAAGGGATTATGGTGATACTGCTCTAAGTACAAATTTTAAATGACGGGATCATTTTTGAACAGTCCTATATTTTTAGTCAAATAATTCTTTTTTTTTTTAATTGCTTTTTATCCCAATGTTTCTAGGTTGACTGACTGATTGAAGTAAACTGTGTGGAATTCGAATATAGCAGTCACTTTTGAGGTGGCTCAATCTCACACCCAATGTCAGAAGTTACATGGATGACATCTTAACAAGGAAAATTTCATGGTCAGACATGGCTCTGTTATTCTTGATTTATTTCTATTCACAAAAGGGTCAAACCTCTTTCATGTGCAATCACCTTATTCAGACACTCATGTCATCCATAACAGTCAACACCATATAAGTATAAACATGACCACTTTTAAAATAGTAAAATAATGAAAAAGAAAATAGGAAAAAAAAAAAAAAAATGCCAGAAGGGTTAAAAAAAGGATACTTTAGGAGAATCAATTAGACACTTGCACAAAATGAAGTCTGTGTGCGGTAGGTTGGTAAGGGCTTTTAAAAGAATGTGCATAACAACAGCTTTGTTGTAGTAGGTTGGATTAAACTGGTACCTAAAAATAAAAAAATGCAACAAATAAAAATACTTTTTACATAAATTGCAATACAAAATATTGTTTCAAACATTTAAGGACAGTCTTTTAGATTTTTAAAATGTAAAAGTTAATTTTCACTGTTAATTTCAATTTTGGTTTGCCTAGAAAGTATCCAGCCCAATATGAAATGGCTGGATCATTTACTGAACAGATCTTGTGTAAACAAAAATTTTCATCAAAAAGAAGGTTTTTTTTCTTTTGTTTTTTTTCACAAAAAGAATGTAGTTTGAAAAATTACCAATTTTGTTTTATATCCATTTTTTTATATCTGTTCCTTTTTTAATGCAAAAACTTTTCCAAGTTTATAAAGATATTCTTTCTGCAATATGGATAACATCAAATAAAATCAGAAGATTAATCTTTGCAAAAATATTCCATCATTCAATGACCAAAACCGGCAACATTATTTTTATAGAAAAAAAAAAAAATTTTTAAATTGAGAAGCATAACGTATTAAAGAGAAAAAAAAAAAGTCTTGTTCTTTCAATAACAAATTTGGATTTAGAGAAGGTAAAAAGAACTCACAGTTTTAATACAGCCAAATTGGCTTCCAGATCATAAGTATTCTCTCGAACTTGCATTTCAACATATCGTTCTAATGTTGAGAGATTATCAGGATTGTACCTAAAAACGAAAAAAGAAAAAAATAATCAATATTTGATCTTTCACATCAATTGAAGAAAATTTTTATAATAAATCTCAAAGCACTAATTTTTAAAGTTTATATTTTTTAATTTTATTTTTAATCAAAACATTCTAGATGAAGTATTGTCTGGTTATTAAATATCTGAGGATATGGAATTTGAGTTCAAGTCTCATGATTCTAACTTAACAGTCAGAGGATATTTGCCCACAAATGCTATGAAAAAAAGAAAAAAAAGATGAAGAGAACTAATTAATATTTAATAATTAAAATAAATCATCTCAAAATTCAAATTAATTAGTACCATCACTAGATAATTAACACACTTAACACACACACACACACACACACAAACATGAATAAAAGAATGATGCAAACATGGCAATACGAATAAAGATAGGATTTGTGCCCTGCTCAACCATGTTAAACAAAAGCAATAGAAAAAGATGCAAGCCAGCCAAAGAGGAATAACTGAACAAGCATACAGAGATAGAAAGGCTACAGAAGACAAGAATAACAGGAAATATATTAAGAGATAAAACGAAATAGCAAGACAGAAACTGTCCTCATTGACTAGATGCATAAGTTAAAAAAAAAAAACATTGTTCATAACAGATAAAAGAAAGATACTTCAATGACAAAACGATTACAAGCAGTATGCCATGACTAGGGGGCAACATGAGGCAAGACCTGTAGGATTAAAATCTGAGGTAAGATTGGTAATGGCCAAGACAAACAAAAACAAAGCAGTAGATGGGATTGCAATAGAGATATTAGTCTTGAAGGATTTCAGGATTGATAAAATTGATGCAATAGTAAAAGAAATATACAAAAATGGTGAAATATCAGAAAACCTCAGTAGATCTATTTTCATACATTGTGCCAAAGAAGCCATTGGACAATCAGTTTAATGAGCAACATATATCATTAGGAATTTAATTCCAGTCTAATTCTGCTTTAATGTGGTCAGAGTGAGCAGTACAAATGCAGAAGGACATACACCTAGATTATAAAAAGGTGCATGATGTGATACGACAAAATCTACTTGTAATATTAGAAAAACTGGATGGGCAATATATTAAAGTAATCTGTAACCTCTGCTGGGAATTAAAAGCCAGTGTGCAGATGAAGAACAAATTTGGTAAATGAATAAAAATAGAAAAAAAAAAAGTTAAGACAAGGGTGCATTTTTTTAATGGATTTAAACGATCCTTAAAAAACATACTAGGATAGGCAGAAAATCTTAATACATCTCCGACTTGGAAAGGAAACTGAAAGAAGTCTAAAACAAGGTAGTAATAGAAAGCAAGAAGAAAGGACTACCTATTGTAAGAAAACAATACATGGTCATCAACAAGAGAAACAACCGAAGGTGTGAGCTACCTATTGGGGATATCAAAATCAAACAGCAAAACTGTGTAGTGTAGTAAGAAATCTGAAGGTGCAGGGAAATAATGAAAGATGTCTTTCAGAAACTAAGCAAAGTATTAAGAGATAGGAAAACACTGTTAGAAACAAAGAAAAGAGTGCTGAACTGTTAGGTGACATCTAATCTCCTATATGGCAGTGAATGCTGGATAATTTCTTCACAGATGAAGAGGAAACAAAGATGTTGTTCTACAGAAGGATGCTGAGAATCCCATGGACAAAAATTTATAATCAGAAATCAAAAAGAGGCAGTTGAAAATCCTGTGATATATAAGGATAGAGAGCTTGGATAATTTGACACTCACAGGACATTGGTATGTAATTGTGAGTATAAGGTTGGTTGGTTTGTTTAGTGGCATATCAACTCCCTATGAGTCATTTAAGCTGAAATTTAATTTCTTGTATTGCTTGTAATTTTTACTATAAAAATGTATTTTTATACTTTCATAGTGTTTTGACCCCTTTTGGGGGTTAACTATTTGCCTATAGCTGGGCAAATAATTAACAGGTGAGACCCTAACAAGTGCTACCACCCCATGTCAGGGTGGACCTGGGAACAACAACAATTAAGAGGTGGTTCCACGCTCCTCAAAACTTCTTGATCAGAGGCTTTGCTGCCAGATGTAGTTTATCATCATACCCAGGATGAACAAAGCAAGGTAATCAGAGGAAAATAGCATGTAATATATTTAACTGGTTTGTATGAACGATTGGCAGAACAAGGACAAATAGGAGTGATAAGGGGCCAAATATCATTTAGGAAAAAAAAAACAAAAGACAAGGAATTTTGAAGATCACCTCCATCTTGAAAAGACACGGAAAACAAAAAAGGAAAAAAAAAGCCTTCAACTATAGCAGGCAACTAATAAATTAATGAAAATATTCTTTATTCCAGAATTCAATTAAACTTAAATGTGAAAGAAATTGGCCAGCCATTAAAAATGGATTTTCATTAATCTTCTTACTTTTCAATGAACAAACAGTTGCCATGATTACAATGAAATCTATCGACACAAATAATATTGACTAAAACATATGTAAAGCACAATTTCTTTGAAAGGATTTATCTAAGCAGTTTTTAAATTCCTGAAGATTGACTGTGTAAAACAACCCAACAAATACTGAAAAATCAATAGATAATTTTCTTTACCACATGTATATAATGCCAGGATGTAGCCAATGGAATCATGTCTACCACAGTGACAGCTCATGGTTCTTGGTAATGACTGAGGTGGTTGAAAATGAATAAAAACAATAGAACAATCATGAACTTCAGAGAGTTTATCCACAATTTTTATTTACTATTATGCTTCAACATAAACTAACTGGTGTTTGCTGTATTTTTCCTCCTCTGCCTATATAAAACTGATTCAACTAATGAAACTGTTATTAAGTTGAAGTTAGGAAGAAAATGTATCGATTTTTCTCCCCATATTATCATTCAATTATCCACATTACACACACAATTAAATTTGTAAAAAAGGTGTCTGCTTTGTTCAGTCACTGCTTAAAGTGGCATGTATAAGTTAATACAAGATCTTTAGATGGCCAAGTTTTTATATATATATATATATATATATATATATATATATATATATATATATATATGACATTGCTGCCCTAATTGTTGAAACCAGGAAAGCAGATGATGTGAAACTTATTAAAGAGGTGTAAGATAGTGTCCTGTGGCAAGATACAAAGCTGGAGTTGGCTTTGCAGTGAGGAGGTTATTTATTGGCAAACTGATTTGATACAGTTTCTAGAACTTGATCCAAATTATGTCTAAATTTTTGGCTTGAAGAGTTATCATTATTTGCACTATTTATATTTGAACTATTGTCCTCAGCTAAAACATTATGACAAAGATGAGGACAATAGTCACAATATAATTAGTGTAAATGCAGATTCAAATTATAAAAACTCATTCACATCATCACATATCAAACTAACAATTTAGTCATGTTATGTGCTGTCTTTGTTATTTTTTAAAATAATTTAAAAGATATGGTTGAGTAAAGAACATTTAGAAGTGGCTCTGATGATCTTTATGAAGAAATTTTGAGCAAGATTCTGCAAGAACACTTTTTTGCCCCTGCAGGAATTTCTAACAACAAAAAAAGTAAACCAGGATGCAATGTTCTTTGATTGAATGCAGCAAAATACATGCATTTTTATAAAATTAGTTCATAACTATATTTGGCATGACAAAAGGAATAATAAAAAAAGAAAGTTCAAAACACACTTTGTAAGGATTTGTGTGTGTGTGTGTGGTAAAAATTTGGATCAAGAAAATTGTTTTTAATCTCATTAAATAATTTGCTGTATTCCATTCAAGATAAATTCTAGATAGAAAAATCTGAGTAAGGAGTAGAATCTAACACATTAGATTTTGGAAAAAAAATTCCAAACTTCCACTCATTTCAACTGGCCCTTTATCCAAGAACAAAGTCATGATTATTAATGTATCTTGTAATTAAATTGATAAGATAAAAATCTGTATATCAAAGACAGATTTTGATTTAGAACCATCAGCAGTAAACATTTTCCAAATATAAAAATCAAAGCATCTAAATTTAGACACTTATAGACAAATACTCTCTAAACAAAGACTTGATATTAAAAAAAAAAAAAAAGTTACATTTAGCAAATGTAGAGTAAAATGAATTAATTGGTTACAGTCTGGTTTGAATTTTTGATCTGAGATATTATCATTATTCATTTTTTGTTAGTTTATCTTTTATTTTATTCTTGCATTTTAATCACATTTAAGTGACACAAATCAGAAATAAAAATTTAGTTTCTGGTGAGATCTGAACCCACTTCCTATATTCAGTTGATCTCTCTCTCAGACTATTTTAACTGCAACAACCGTTTACAGGGCACACTTAGTAAAGCAGTTGTAGTTTATTGCCTGCTTACTTTGCCAATACTTTTATTTTACCAAAACAACTGAATTATTGTCAGTTATTTTTTTTAACACAAAAGAATTGAATTAAATTTCCTAAACAACAATAACAAAATTTCATGCTTGAAGAAAGAAAAAAAAAAAAAAAAAAAAAAGTGACTTAGCATGATCATGAGAGCTTTTTTAACTGGAAAGTACATTGCAAATGAGTGCGATTTTTCATTTTCAGCAACTTTGTAAATCTCTTTTATCAGTCCTCTCCAAACATCCCTGTCCTGTGCTAACTCATAAAAATGCTTCAAGTCTTCCAAGCTCTTCAAAGTTTTTACAAGGAATGATAGGATTAGTTCTTTTAATGTCATTGTTCAATGTGTATACGACTGTTGTGCATCTAATGTCTATGGATGTTATTCTTCCATTTGGTATTCATGACAAAATCATTTCCATAATATTTACTGTGTAACACCAAAATTAATATCAAAGTCATTCTTTGATTTTAGTTTCTTGGAGACAATAATATACATCAATGCTATCAATGCCTGAAGACAATAATTCTTGCTTTTCATTTTTCACAAATCCTCTAGCATTAAATGCCCCAATGGCAAAATCTTTACATGTGACTGGAGGCATTCACAAAGTTTTAAATAAGTTACCAAGTGGAGAACTCATTACCTTCTCCACAGCATGTCTAAAAAATGGTAGCGAAGTCCTATTTTAATAATACACAAAGATATAGCACAAGGCAGAAAATTGGAGGAAGAATAAATTTTTTTACTATTTTGTTAATTTAGCTAGCCTAATAGTCACATTAACTGTACAATTCTTCATTGTACTATTTACCATCACATTTATTATGAAAGCTTTCATGCAACAATCATCAAAAGTAGGTACTTCCAAAAATTCACTAACAAAAAAAATAAAAAAATACACAAAACATAATAATGAAAATAAAACATCATCAAAATGTTTCAGTTTACATCATTAAGAGGAAAGATCAAAGGATTTTTTTTCCATGTAAAAATATTTTTTTAAGTTCTTAGAACCCTGAACATTTTACTTACAAAATATTGTTTCTTTAGAAAAGAAAAGTTTATTTTATTCTTAAGAATAAAAAAAAAAAAAAAAAAAAAAAAGAGGTGAGAATTACTTTGTGTTAACAAAACAAAACAAATCCGTCAATATGAACAAATAATTTATAGATAGATTTTTTTACTAATATGGAGAATAAAGAAAAAAAAAAAAGAAGATTCCAATCAATTTAAATTCAGAGTATTTTGCTATTGGGAATCTATTATTAACTTGGAATTAAAACCAAAATTATAGCTTCAAGAAAAAATTTTTCATTTAAGAAAAAAAAAAAATGTAATTTTTTTTTTTTTTGAAGTGTAGTTTTATAACAAAAACAAATTAAATAATACAACAGAACCTTTTTTCCGTTTTGAATAGCAAAAAAAAAAAAAAATTACATTTCTTTACGGTAGTGCGTAGTGATTATCTGCAAGGAAAGTCTGTAAAAGTAAATAGGCCAAATTTTCTGATTACGCCTGAGTAGGTACTACGCAGTGAATTAATAATCATAATGGCAGTAATGGGGGACGAATGACAAATGAGAAGTCCGATTTTTTCTTGTCGATAACTCCAAAATTATGATAGTTTCTTCATAATCTACTTGTTAATTCGAGTTCAGCATGTACATTTGCACGGAATTATGACGATTTGGGAAAATTTTTAAGGGATATTAGCGAAACAAAACCAAAATTTACCAAAAAAAAAAAAAAAAAAAAATTAATAATTTATCTCCCACGAAATATTTTCTAATTTGTCAAACAGGTGTTTATTTTCTTTCTTTTTTTTTTTTTTTTTTTTGTAATATTGTGTAAAGAACAAGCATCTGAATATTCAAAGCGAAAGAAAAAGGGAAAATGAATTCCAATTATTTAAAGCAGTGATTCCCATAGGATTTTGGGCCATGTCCCACTTTCGTTATTTCTAAAATTTTAGTGGCCCCTGTAATATTTAATTCTTACTATGCCAATTACAAATGTACGTACATACAAAATATTTTTATGTATGCATAATCATTATGCATACATAAAAATATTCATTAACGCTCTCACTCAGACACATAAGAAAACAATTCACTGTTAATAACTCATTCTTGAATTGCCCCCTTATTCTGTTTTTTTCCTACGAATGTCCCACCAAAATATTACTATGCCCCACGTTGGGAATCATTGATTTAAAAAGCAATTCAGGCAATCCGCAATCATTACATGAAGAGTTAAGAACACACAGAGTGACAACCAAACTTTGAGAAGAAAAAAAAAACAAAAAACACGAACAATAACTCAAAAAAGGAGGAAAATTTCTACATTTTTCTTTAAGATTAATATATTTTTACGTGAAGTAACGAACCTCATTAAACTAGCGATGGAAATAAAACAAGATTCACTTATTTCCAGCGTTCGTCAAGCCCATGCGGTACAAGCGTTGAATTTAATAAAGAGTAGTTTGTTTTTTTTTAAATCGTTTCCTCAAATAATACAATGCTAGTTTTAAATGAGAATTTTCTTTTATTGAGATTTATGATTTTTAACAATCATTCACCAATAAAGAAACACAAAATGAAGTGGAATTGCATTTAAAACTGAACCTCAATAGTCAATAGAATGGCTTCTTCATGAACATGTGGGAATCCATACGTCTATGCCAAACAACGTTATTCCCAGTTAACACGACAAATATAAAAAAAAATACATGTACAGTGTTTGAAAGCGATATATATTTAGAAAAATCAAACATTGAAAGATTGCATAAACGACTTTTACCGATCAATTCCTTTCAAAAGTTTAGCAACATTTCCTCGCATAGCTTCTGCCATTTTGTCGGCATTTGAAATAGGATTGAACTTTTCGAAGCCGCAGAAACGTAAAAAAAAAAATCGTATATTTTTAAGCCGCAGATTCGAATTATATTACCGTCCTTATTTTGAATATGTTTGTCAGCTTTTATATTTGTAAATATCTGATATACATTTGTATTTTAAACAAATATAGGCTTATACATAATATTATATAGGTATTCTAGTGCATGTCTCTTTCTCTCTAGATATCTACCTTCTCTCTCTCTATATATATATATATATATTTATTTATATATATATATATATATATATATATATATATATATATATATATATATATATATATATATATAAATAAGTATATATATATATATATGTGTATAGAGAGAGAGAGAGAGAGATGTGTGTGTGTGTGTGTGTGTGAATAAAATAAACATTCAGAAAATAGTATTTAGTCCTTCAAATTTCATCATTCAACTTTATCAAGTCAAGTGATGATAAACAAAAGTGAAATGTTGTATAGTTGTATATGAAATTCAAAAATGTTAAAAATATTCTTGTGAACATTCACTCTTTTGGATATTGCTAACTTTTCTCTTTTTTTTTCTAACAGTGTGTTTTTTCATTAGTCGACAATAAACATAATATCTCTGTCAAGTGTTAAACTAAATAGGTAATAAATTTTGGTATATAATTCAAGTGGATCTAATTTTCAAGCGATCCTACAAAAGCTCTCAATGTATTTTTCTTAAAAGCCTTAAGCATATAAATTCAATTACACAACAAAATCAAAAATTACTCTGATATATTTAAACATTGAACTTTCAACTATCTATCTATGATAGGATAAGGAACAAATAGGAAAATTCTGTTCGATTCTAATCCATATTTGATCCCAATTCATTGTTTGCGTGTCTAGATTTAAAAGGCCAGTTAATAAAATTTGAGTAATAAAGAGATGACAAAATGATAAAAAGATTGCCAATAAGACTAATAATATTTATTTTATATTAGCATCCTTTTGACTAAACCAAAGCATGAAGAGAAAGATTTTTAAAGTCAGAATTTTCAGGCATGCCTTTTTCTATTGGTCAAAATAAATTTTCTCACAAGCTTGTGAATTTGAGAACAGTGAAGAAAAGAAAGATTTTTATCTGGTATTCACCACAAGTGCACTTAAGTTAGAAATGAGGATTTCTAAGGTACATAATGAGAAATGAGGGTTTGGAAAATTTAATACCCATAGGACAGCAATGGGTCAGAGTTTTAAAAAATGCCTAACCTACCTGGTGAACTTACAGCCAATAGGATGGTTTTCAAATTTTGGAATATGGCAAAAGACAAAATTTATATTTCTAGCAAAAAGGACAGGAAATTGTAAAAGCCATTATCACCAACATCCTGAAGGGACATGATACATAGAATTCGTTCAACAGGGAGACAACTAGGGTTGCCTTCACCAAAGCTCTAAAGAAGCAGAGGGTATAAGAAAGGAATGATGTAAGTTCTTTAAGGATCATGGTATTAAAATTACAACAACAATCATTTTGATAGAAATATAAATTTTCTAGTTGCCATATTCAATTTGAAAACTGTTATTTTGGCTGTAAGAACATCAGTGTTCCAGGTTTTTAAAACTCTGAACATCTGAATTTCAAACAATAAAATAAAAATAACAAAAACATGGTCTCATGCCTGTTAAATAAAGCATTTGTATTTACAAACATATTTACATGAATTCAAAAGAGTCAAAAAAGACTAAAAATAGTCTTTGGTAGAATACCAGATAAAAATTTTTCTTTTCTTCACTGTTCTGAAATTCACTAGGTTCTCGAAACAAAAATACCACAAAATATGAAACAATAAGAAGAAACATTCAACAAGAAATGTTGTACAATATATATGGTTTTATATTCAAAACAATGCTTTTATAAACATAAATTTCGTTGTGTTTTGGCAATGCTAAAATTTTGTTGTCCTTTATTATTTTGAGGAGGAAAATGTTTTTATGTTGATAAACGGTAATGTGTATTGGGATCAAAATGGTGTATGAGTTTGAACAGAATTTTCCTAAGATGCATTTTTACTTGTAAGAGAATTAAACCGTTTTTCCCACAATCCCTATATGAGTGTTTTTATAGTTGAAAGTTCAATGTTTAAATATATCAGGAGTTATTTACCTTTAACTAATTGAAATGTTTTTGTTAAGATTTCAAAGAAACTTGTTGAGTGAGAGAAAATAAAATTGTAGTCTTCGCCAAAATCAGATTTATTTGGTACTAAAAACAGTAGTTTTTTAGTTAAGATTGCTATGTTTATTGTGCTGTTTGCAAATGAAAATCTCACTGTTAGAAAAAAAAAAGTTTCTGTTAGCTTGTATCCAAACGAGTGAATGTTCGTAGATATTCGTAGATGTGCAATGTTCATATACATGTATGTTTCATAGTGGTTTCCCCAAAGGGACAAAATGCGACCTTCCTACTGAACTACATTACTGTGGGTCTGAAAAGACAGGAAAGACGAAGAGAGGAAGATGTGTCCAACTATTTATAAGTAATGTGAATCATGTGATAGGATCGCAAATGCATAACCAAATTTTGGTGGTAAATTGACTCTGAACACTTGTGCATAGGCATTGTAATATTTTCACAGATATATTAGCTAATCCGAAGTTGGAGAATTATTCAAGGCTTGTGTGATCCACTTTTATGTTTCAAAATAATACAATGAAGTGGTAGCAAATCGTTTGTGCGTTGAGTTTCCGGAAATCTCCACAGGGTCCCCATGCTCCCACCTCAGGTATAAGGACCATTTGTAATGGAGATACGTAAGGGCTTGAAGACGGTCATATTATACCTGGGTCCAGCATATGCTGGAATTCAGCCTTTGCCAACTTATACTTGTCTGGACGTAAGCGACGTGGAGGCGAATGAACAGGAGATCCATGGTCTGGATCTTATGCTTCACATTATGCCAAACAGGTTCTATATATTTGAAGGGAATACTGATCTCTGGGTACTTTTTGAGTAATTCCTGTAACCTTATAGAATCGTCAATGTTTGTCTACTCACAATTCCAAGCTTTCTTAATATGAACTCCGGTTACCTAATCAAAGGGACACGACTCTGTTCTACCTTTTCAGTACGCATTCATGTATTGTACATCAAACATTAATAAATCTAATTGTTATGTTTTGGAATCATTCAGTTCAGTTTTGTATTTTATTCTATGTGCTATTTACGTCAAGTATAAATTGCATTGCTTTCACGCATTTTTCTTAATCTCATCTTTCCTAGCCCAAGTTAAATATTGGCAACTCAATCACTACAACGATGATAATACAACAGTTACATTGAATTTGATGATCCTGTCAGAAATAAACAACAATGGTAACGAACCCTATCGCTACAACCTGTTAGCAGCGGGCAATGATACCAGTAGTTGTATACATCAATGTTATGCCTCTCATAGTGAATTCTGTCATTTGGTGTACCAGAGATTGGGAAGACACGTTAACAGTTAAGCCAAAATGGGCTAGGAATCACCGCCAGCAAAATGGCATTAGTCAGCAGCAATTCACCCTGAAGACGCATGTACAACGTAATTCTTCCAGAGTATGCTATACATTCATCCTGAATATAATTTCAGCACATTAAGAATAACAATGCATATACTTTGTCAAATCACGTATCTATCTTCACCTGATAACACGTCAGGAATCACGTCTCCAATTTTCACCAGTGTAGATCATTAGACAATTTCTCTATTCAGATCACATCTTATTACATATTGAAAATTTCTCTTATTTTCTTCTCAACTTTCAATCTGGGGAGCGTATTTTAGCATTATGCTACCACTTTCTTTTGACAGCAATTTTTGTACAAACTAAACTTCAAAATGGATTACAGAGCCTTAAATAATTCTCTGACTTCTGATTGGCTAATATATGTGAAAAACATTGCAATGCCAACACACAAGTGTTCAGAGTCAATTTTCCACCAAAATCTGGTTATGTTTTCATGAGCCTATCACGTGATTCACATTACTTATAAATACTTGGACACATCTTCACTCTTCACTCTTTCTTGTTTTCTCTCACCTACAAGCGGTGTAAGCTCTGTTGTGAAGTTGCGTTTTCTCCCTTTGGGGAAAATGCTTTGAAACATCATGACACACACACGCACACATATACGTACGAACATCTACGAACATTCATTCTTTCAACTACAAGGACACAGAAACTTATCAACTTCTAACAGTGAGATTTTTATCAGCAAACAGCATGCTGCCTGAGCACGTATGACTTTCGACAATTCATCTCAACCAATTTAATCCCTTTTCGGTGAACGAATTTGAGCGGCAAGATACTTCAATATATTTTTCAAATTGGAAGTGTTAAACTAAAAACTACATTTTTAGTACCAAATACTACTTCTCGATTTTCAAGCAAAGACTACAATTTTCTCTTACTCAACAATTTTCTTCAATTCAAATTAACAGTTAAAGGTAAATAACTCCTGATATATTTAAACATTGAACTTTCAGCTATAGAAACACTTAACATAACATTGTGAGTAACAAACTGTTTAATTCTCTGACAAGTAACAATACATCTTACTAAAATTCTCCAGTTTATCAACATGAACATTTTCTCAAAATTCCAAGAACAAGCAAATTTCAGCATTTCAAACACAACTGAATTACTGTCTGTACAATTGTTGTTATGCATATATAAATTCCATTCTCTTATTTGACCCTTTCTTGTTGAATGTTTCTTCTTATTGTTTGATATTTTGTGGTATTTTGTGTTAATATAAATACGAGAGGCTCTGGTAACCTCTAGAGTACACAGACAAACTGTAGTTTAGAAAAGATTTGTTTGTCTACAGAAAAATAGCTCTAGTTGAAAAAAAAGCTTTTATGATTAGTAAAAATTCACTGACTGTCTTTGTTGTTGTTGTGGGAGATGATTTATTTGAAGTCAATGACTGGTCATCAGTGAAGATTCACTGACCTTCCAAGCTGTTGATGTTGTATTGTAACTGATGCATTTGAAGTCATCGGCACATACTTCTTTTAGTATGCATTGGGAAAAGAAAAAGCAATGTAGTCACGGCATGGAGACACTCGCATATCTTTGCTTTTTGAAATTTTAAATCTGTGGGGTTTTTATAAGAAATTTTTCTGAAAGTTGGCTTGAGAAAAATAGGGTTTTAGTTTTCTCTTATTAGTCAAATATTTCATGTGATGTTAATATCTAAGCAACAGATACTTGGTGTGTTTTGCATTGTGGAATCTTTTTGGTATGTTTGTAATATTGTTTGTTATTGGTGAGAAAATAAATCTTGGATGTGTTCTAATATGGTTTGCATGTGGGTATGTAAAATGTGTTTGTCATTCCTTTTCCTTTCAGCCATTCTGTTCTGCTCATGAAATATAGTGTTATTATATCACTGATATAATAATAACCATAATGTGGGAAGAGAATAAATCTTTCTCCACCTAGCTTTCCCAACCCTGCATTTATATAATGGTCTGTAATAGTTATTTTCAAACAAAGGATTGAAATAAAGTTCTCACAAAAATCAGACATTATTCCATGATCATTTTCCAACTTATTCAAGATGATTTTTGCCTTCTCTAACCTTCTAACTTTCTGTCCTGCAGTAATAAGGTGCTTCACATGTTTCATGTACAATTTCATTTTCATGTCTTTTTTCACTGTTTTTTGGACTGTCATAGCTGAAACTGCTCTCTCATGTACCAAATGTCTTATTAATTGAGTTGGATCTTTTCTAATTGATCTCTTTACCTATAAGTTGAAATGATGATCCTTCTTCCTGTTATGACCTCCTGATCTAGTTTTCCTCTCTACTCTTTCCTCTTTTTTAAAATTATTCTTGATGGTTCTTGAATGGACTTTGAAGATGGAAGCCAGTGTATGAATGTTGGCACCATTACTGAAGGCCTCAATAATCTTTTTCCTCTCAACATTGCTCAGTTGGAAAGACAGTGGGTCTAACACAACAATTTTAACCTGTTCTCTTTCTAACTGAATAACTCAAAGAGTTTTCAGTGATTCTCACAAAAAAATGGTGTCAAGATGGCTAAACATCAGAAAACCTGGAATATGAAAGTCAATTAGTTTAGTATTTTTTTTAGATATTAAACATTTTGTGGGATGGACAATTAAGCTGTTACACAATTTGGAAAATTTTGCTGTTACACCCAGTATATATATATATATATATATATATATATATATATATATATATATATATTTTGTGTATTTAGGCAGCAATCCTTCTTTCATGCCCATTAAGGAATTGTATTCCTGATCAATCAAAATTCGTAAATAATTATATAGGCCACACTACAACATGTTTGACAGGCAGACTCACTCTACATCTTTTTGACAATAGCTCAACTAGGTCTCATTTAAATACTCATGGAGACCTACTATTCGTAACATACTTGTTGACAACACTAATATAATAGCATCATCTTCATGCAAAAAAAGGCTAAAAATAATGGAAGCCTTATTAATAAAAACAAACAAACCAACACTTAATAATATTAACTTTGAACATGGACATAATATCTTTACTGTGTTTTGAAAAATGAAAATATTTTATAAAACTACATACAACAAGCTATTTCTTATTTTAACAGTTAAAATATTTAATCCTTGAAAATGGCTAAATGTGTAGTTGAAAGCGCTCAGATAAAAAGAACATTTAGACAGTTTTTATATAATTTATCATCCGGAAAGAAAAAAATTATTAGATTGCATGAGAAATTGTATAAAAAACTACATAAAAGCACTTTGTATGTCGTTTGCAATGAAATGTGCATATGTATATATATATATATATATATATATATATATATATATATATATATATGTGTGTGTGTGTGTGTGTGTGTGTATTTAGGCAGCAATCCTTCTTTCATGCATATTTCATTGAATATGACAGACAAGGTGCTTTGATTTAGTTTTTTATACAATTTCATATGTGATCTAATAATTTTTTCTTTCCAGATGATAAATTATATAAAAACTGTCCAATTTTTCTTTTTATCCAAGTGCTTTCATCGGTACATTTAGCCATTTTCAAGGTTGAAATATATTAACTATATATTATCATCCAAAAAGAAAAAATTATTAGATCACATGAGAAATTGTATAAAAACTAAATCAAAGCATCTTGTCTGTCGTATCCAATCAAATATATATATATATATATATATATATATATATATATATATATATATATATATATATATATAAGAGTACATGGCCAAGTGGTTGGAACATTCACTTTCTGACCATGAGACCTAGGTTCAAATCTCACCATGGTTTATTTGTCAGGAAGGTGACATGTTGATGTTATCGGTCTGGGAGAAGAGATCCCACTATGCCCCACTTTTGGAAAGTGCCTGAAAAATGTATCATGGCTTGACCTAAGCCTTGTAAGTGAAATTGGATAGATGGAACCCTTGGGAGCCGTTGATGGTTGTGCTAGCACAAATTCACAAGTCATCATGGCTGAGTGTTTGTTTAGAATCTCCATCATGTCAGATAATGCGCTCTCTCTCAGATAATGTAACTAAGATCTGCTCAGTATAGTTGCAGTTTAAACCACAGGTAGGACCAGTGGGTTTTGAACAAACACAAATGTGCCTGAGCAGGTGTCTACAACAGGGATTGTCTAGCTGCCCTGATAGATGGTCATCCTTGGATATGAATGGCCAGCCATATCTATCTATCTATCTATCTATCTATCTAAATTTCTCAGAGTTAACCTGTAGAAAAAGACAGTATGTACAGTGCTGTTTGATAAAAGTGACTCACCTGATATTTTTTACTAAGTGTTCTCATCTTCGATGAAACAAAAGTTGAGCTAAATTCAAAGGATAAGCGATCTAAAATCCGAAGAAGAAGCTTTGAAAGCTCTTTGAATTTAGCAGTAAGTACTGTCAAGCATCCGTTCAGTATAATGTTCTGGGGATGCTTTTCTTTTCATGGAACTGGTTTCTTAAAACCTATTGAAAAGACCCTCAGGAGCAAGCAGTACAAGAGAATTTTAGAGTCTTGACTGCTCCCTTCTGCTGAAACGGTGAAGATCGCTCCCACCAAGCTCATTTTTATGCAGGATAATGCTCCCTGTCACAAATCAAAATTTGATGAAAGAATACTTTGATGAGACGCAGGTGACTGTTATGACATGGCCACCCCAATCTCCTGACCTAAACCCCATAGAAAACTTATGGAGCATGTTGCTCAACTGCTTTCTTGAGAGCCTGTACTTTATAATGCTCCATAATGACATGTTTGTTAATAATACAGTTTTCCTATTGTCTTTTACCTTTATACATATATGTGTGTGTGTGTGTGTGTAAATTAGTTATTAAATATGTTTAAGATGTTTCTGCCAGTATTAAATGCTATTATATTTATGTTGGGTTTTGGTTTTTAATTAAGATGGCTTCAAGAATTTGTAATAGTCTTTCCATTTGTTTTTATAGAGGATTTTGGTGTTAATTAAGATTTTTCTCGTTTCAGATGATTTGAATATATAACTAGTGGTGCAGTGTGCTGTTACAAGATGATTTTTTTTATGGTGCTGGTGCCATTAAGGTGGTATGTGAGTCTACGTGAAAGGGTTGTGGCTGTGTGTCCAGTGTATGTGCTAGCGTTATTATGTGAGAAACACTCTTGAAATCAGCATATGCAATTGTAAACGTTCATGAAAATAGATCTGTTTAGAAATATATTTGATAATGCATTTTGCCATTTAAGGCTTTCTCAGATCCGAAAATGAAAGAACGAAATGCGTATATATATATATATATATATATATATATATATATATATATATATATATATATGTGTGTGTGTGTGTATGCTTAAATAATGGATCTTTGTACTTTTTCCCTAAGCTAGAGTTTCTTGCAACTAAAGAAGAAAGAAAAGGAGTGACTTTTGAAAAAAGTTAATATTTAGTATCGTTTTATAATTTCAGTTAGAGTCAAAAGTTGTTAACATATTTTCCCAGCATTTTTGTATTGAATTAAAGGCAAATCCTCTTCTCTTTGTTGGGATTATATATCCTAATTTTAAAACTGTCATGGGTCCTTACCTATAACTACAGAATGAACTCTTCCTAACACTATGTATACTACGCCTCTCAAGAGAGAGGGTTGAATCGAGTCGAGCTGATAGTAGTTCACTCCAAACCAGACTGACAGTCATACTAACACCTTCCACATCTTGTATTATTATTTCGTGTAATATACCTTTGTTATTTCTACTCTTGTGTTTGTGTTGTTCTTCCTTGGTCCTAACCTGGACTATAACAAAAACATATACTGTCGACATGGAAAATGCATGGATAAATAAAAAAACAAATCTTCTACTGTAACAGGTTGAATGGCTTCGATTCAATCTGCACTATTTTTTTTACTTTACAAATATGTCAACAAGTAATAAGCAAACAAGAAAAATGATATTCAGCAAGAAAAGCATTTATATTGCAATAATATACAACTGTACAGACAGAAGTTCAGTGAACTTAGAGATTTAGTTGAAGTATGTATTTGTTATTTGGAAATGTTCTTTTGACAGGTGAAATGTGTTCCTGTGAAGAATGTTCATTTTGTGTGAAAGTGATATAGAATCTGTAATTAATAAATTTGTTTAAATTAATTAAACAATTTGTAACTGTTGTAGAGTAACTAGTATCCCTTCAGCACTCTACCAGATGGCCTGGCTCATAGCCTTAAATAGTTTACGATTAAGAACTTCAACAGTTGATTAATAAGTTGATACTAAGCTGATTAATATTCAAACTGATCTTACTTTGTTTGGCTATACAGCATTTGACCCTCCTCTATTCCTTGTAAGTTGTCTTGTTAATTGTTTTGTAACTTATTGTTCTGTGTTTTTTGTATGTATCCGTTAGCACCAGATAGTGGTGCTGAATAAATATATTAAACACTTGTTCTTCTCTGTGTATCATTCACCTCAATGATACAACAGTAACATTTTCTATAGTCGAAAGTTCAATGTTTAAATATAGCAGGAGTTATTTACCTTTAACTGTTAGTTTGGATTGCTTAAGGCTTTCAAAGAAAATAGTTTTTTTCCTGCTGATGAAGATCTCACTGTTAGAAGTTGATAAGTTTCTGTGTACTTGGTGGTAAAGGAGTGAATGTTCATAGATGTTCATAGATGTTTGTAGATATGTCATATATACATGTGTGTGCGCACGTGTGTGTGGCATGATGTTTCATAGTATTTTCCCCAAAGGAACGAACACAACCTCTCCACTGAGCTACATTGCTGTGGGTCTGAGAAAACAGGAAAGAGAAAGAATCAAGATGTTACTAAGTATTTATAAGTAATGTGAATCATGTGATAGGCTCACAAACACATTTGAACAGGTTAACTTGAGGTCAGCCATGTGGATGCAGGCAGAAACATGATATTGATATTAACGGACCAATCAAAACGTCAGCTACTGCAAACCTAGCCTGGAGCCTACAAGTGTTTAGCTTGTACAAGATTTTAGAACTTTGCATGTGAAAATGCACAAAATATAGTTTTAATATTTATTGTCCGATCAGGCTGTTTTTAAATAACAGCATTATGGAAATTAGCTCTGATCCACTGAAATGTAGAAGTTAGGTTCTACATTATTTCAACCCATTCTGAAGGATTATAGGAGGATTTACCTTGGATCCATTTTCAGAGAATGCTAAATAAATTTTTTATTTTTTGAGTCATTCTAATAACTGAGCTTAAAATAGATACTTTATATTAATGACTTTTTTTAAAAGTCACCCATTTTCTTTCTTTCTTTAATCATGAGAAACGACAGCTTAGGGAAGTGCTAAGTCCTAAGATTCATTATTTAAGCATACAAACAAATACACATACATGCATTTCATTCTTTCCTTTTCAGATCTGAAGAAGCCTTAAGTGGTGAAATGCATTATCGAATTTATTTCTAAACATCTATTATCATGAATATTTCCTATTGTCAAAATTTTAAAAATTTGTTCGGATTATATATCTGTGGCAGACTTCAGCACATTAATTTAACTTTAGATTAGGAACAACTAAATTATTAATAATAAAAGAGTAAATAAATAGATATATATAAACAAATAAGAAAAAAATCACCTGCAACAATAACAACATTTACTCACTATTTTTTATTTATTATGCATTAAATTAAATTGCTTAGCATCTTCCATAGTTTACCTTGACTTTCACAGCATCAAGAATATTTATGAGCATTCTTAAATTAGAAATATTTGAAAATAACAAATATTTTTTACTTCTGTTTATAAATACATGTTTCAAAATAAAATCCTTAAATTTTCCTTGATAAAGTCTAACAGAGGACAAAATGTGTTGGCAAAGAAAAGTTTTCCTTTTATCTTTATTCATACATACATATATATATATATATATATACACACACACACACATACATACACACATATATATAAACATATATATATATATATATATATATATATATGCACACACACATATATATACATATACACACACACACACACATACATATAGACCCCAGGTAAAATGAGAATAAATGGAGTATGAGTCCACTGTATGTAACATTTAATTTAAAAGAGGGATCAATACATAGTAGAGCTAAATATCATATATATATATATTTTACACTTATGAATAGCAACAAAAGGAATACACACACACACACACACACACACACACACACACACACACATATATATATATATATATATATATATATATATAAAACCTATATAAAATAAATTCATTGAGTCTGATATAAACCTCAAAACCAGGAAAATAGAGGAAGCACTAGACGGCCATTAGAAGCGGATCAAGCAACGATAAACACATATAATAAGTAGGAGGATTTGATAAACATATAATTGGGACTAAACCTCAGCAAATAGATCCACTGAACCAGGTCATCAGCAGTGCGATCCAAAATCCCCTGACAGTTGGGTTGTCAAGCAGACAACATACCAAACTGGGCCTCGACAATAACCATATATATACAAATATATATATATATATATATATATATATATATATATATATATATATATATATATATATATATATATATAAATCATATAACCCCTTTCAAATCAATAAAGCCACTAACAAGGAGTTACTTGGTATGAAAGAAGAAAAAGAGAAACTTTCTTCCAGAGCAAGAACAATAAAAGAGGAATCATGAAGACAGTAGATAATGATCAACATTGCATTTAAATTTTTGAAAGTGAAAATTGGCTGGAAAGCAAGAAGTTGGAAGAAAGTTCCACAGACAAGAAGTGCAAGAAAAGAAACTTTAAGCATAAAACTGACTGTAGCCATTTCACCTGTACCTTGTTTCCAATCTTGTACTACACTTAAATTCATAAAGTCTAGCATAGCAAAAAGTTCATCAGAACAATTACCATGAAAGTATTTATAGAAAGGGCATAGGGAAGCTATGTTATGGTGGTGAGAAAGTGATAGAAGCTGGATGCTAGGTCAGGACCAATAACATTGCAGATTCTTCTTTGGATTTTATCAAGAATGTCTATATGCATAGCAGAAGCACCAGACCAATTGTGACAGCAATATTCAATACATGAACAAATGGTAGACTTATAAAAGTGTAGATTCTGGTGAGGAAAATTGTCTAGAAAGGCAGTGGGAATCAACCTTCCTAGCAGCAGACCTACCGATTCAATATAATCATTCAACATACTAGTGGAAAATGTTAGCCTAGGTGCAATGAGTTGTTTTCCTGAAAGTTAGCATCAGTTTCTTTCACCCTCAGTAGCTACTTGAAGGTTAGTGGCTTTATTGCATAGCTTGGGGTGAAATCTTAAAAAAAAAAAGCTGTTAAGTGAACTTGTTAACCCTGGTCAGGCCAGTCCAGTCCAGTCTAATTTAATTATCAATTTAAAATAAATAAATATAATAAAAATAAAATAAATAATAAGAAAAGATCTTTGGATGTTGAAGGTTTTACATGCAAATGGGGTTATTTATTTTTTTTCTCATATTTGTTGATGAAGGAAATGCCAACAATAAGACAATGTAAAAAAAAAATCAACCGTGAAATGTGGATTTGTATTTCAATGCTGTAATTTCGGTTTTTCCATTCAGCTAAAGCTGTATCACATGACTTGCATAAACTCATATCCGTATCATTCCGAATAATTAACTTTAAATAATGCAGAAATGCTATATCTCTTCTTGTTCATATGTCCCTCGCTCTTCCATTGAGCAATACCACATGACTAGAGATTTATTTATTTATTTATTTTGTATAATAGGGCACTAAGTGAAAGTAGTTAATTACTGAATTATCTCCCCTTGGTCGGAACTCTTTCACGTTTTTCCGTCATGAAACCCTGGTTTGTTGTTAGTCTAAAGAGGAGAGCCTTGGTGTTGTTAGCTATTAGGTACCCGTCAGCAAAAGACTTGACTCTAATATCCTGATTATGCCAGCCAACCATTCCAGGATGGTTGGTTGGGACCATTAGTGTATTATTAGCATTTTACTTTCTCTTATTGTCCACTTTAGTGTCCAGCGATGGAGGCTAAAGCTTTAATTTGTGACCAACTTCGGTTGGCACCCCAACACGTTCGATGGTTGGGCATCCCTGGCCATTGTGCCGTCTGCTTGGTAAGTTTTTATTTACTTACTCGTTTATTTATATTTTGCTGATTCTGGGTATGATGCATTTTTAATTGTTAGTACGAGGGATTTTCTTGTGCATTTCGTACTTGCTGGATGATCAATTTCTTTTTTTTGCGGGTCCCTTGATTATTATTTTTTTCTTCATCCATTTCAATTTTCAATCGTCATTTTCATGTTCTTTTTTTTATTTTATAGTTTTTTATTTATTACAAAAAATAAAATATTTTTGCTTGAATTGCTAAAATTAAAATAATAATTTTCTCAGATTGTTTATATTTTTCTCAAAATTGGTGATAAAATTTATTTAAAATCGGTACTTTGATTTTTTTTTTTTTTTTTTTTTTTTACTTTTAATTTCAAAATTTTTAATATTAGATTTAAAAAAGAAAATTGCTTTTTCCTTCACTTTTTTTTTTTTTTTCATAGTTTTTATTAGTTCTATCTTAGTTATTAAGTTCATTGTATTTATTAACTGCATTTTAAAATTTACCCGATTTAAAAAAAAAAAAAAAATATGCATAACAAAATAAATAAAGTAATTTTAAAATTTGCTTTCAACTTTTAATTTATTAAAAATTTTAAAACTACCTCCTTTTTATTTTTTATTATTTTTTATTTATTAAATTACCCCCATGTGAATCTTCTTTGCCACCCGAGAGAATTGTAATTAAAAAAATGTTTATTTATTATTTATTATTGAGGAGAGCGAAGGGGAAAAATAGTAAAATGTAATCCATTGTATAAGTTTCTTTTTTTTTTTAAAAAAAACAAAAGTAAAAGAATATCTCTGCTTAATTCATTCATTCGTTAATTTATATTTCAAGGTTTTTTATATATAATTTTTATTGTTTGAAATGAAATCTAATGTAGGAACTTATTTCTTTCTTTTTTTATCTTCAAAACAACTGTCGCTTTAAATTACTAATTTCACTTTGCAAGTGAAAAACTAAAACTAAATAAATTCTTTAGGTTAATAATTTTTATTTAGAGATTATATAATTTCCTTGACCATATTAACTAAAAAAGAAGTAATCTTTTAAAATAAGACTAATTTTACTTTTTTTTTAGTGACAATACAAATTTAAAATAAAATATTCTTCAACTGAACTGTATTTTTAAAGTTTGATTCGATAAATTTATTGACAATAAAACCCACAATCAAGTCATTTTTAAAAATGCGACAAATTTAGATAAAAAAAAAATTAATTTTTAATATTAATTTTTTTTTTTTTTATTTGGAAATTGTAAAAAGTTTCCTTTTTTTTTTTTTTCCTTTAATGTCTCATAATGAAATGAAATTTAACAACCATATGCAAATTTATTTCCAATTTATTATTTTGACTTTTTAGGAAACACCCACCCACTTTACAACGTAATGAGATTTAAAAAATATATTTAAAAAATTCATATACATTTTATTTTTATTATTTTTTAAATCATCCATACCTTTTTTTAAATTCTGTTTTCACATCTTCAAATGACTTCTCTTCAAATTAATTAAAAACAAAAAAGTTGTTAGAAAAATGAATGGAATAGTCACGTTGTTAATTACAAAGAGAAGATTTTCAAAAAAAGGTTGTCTCTTTAGTTTAAAAGTAAAACTGTTTACTGTTTAGAGACTGTACTTATTTTCAGTTTGATTATTTTATTACTCGCATAGTACCCGTAAAAAATGTACCAGTTTTCGTAAAATCACCAAAGTTAAGCAACGTCGGGCCTGCTCAAGACTGTTGACCACTTTTGAATAACAGGTAGTGTAAGAAGAAGATTGGATGTGCAGGTGGTGTAGTAATGGATAAAGGTTTGGAAATCGGAGAGCCGAGTCCTAATTCCAGTCGGGCTCATATTTAATTACGAGCAAATACTCTTGGAAAAGGTATTATTAATCCACCTCGTCTCCCACCAGCTATGGATTAATTAGTTTGACTTGTATCAGTAAATCATTATTATCTCAAAAGAATTCTTACAATCTAAAAATATTTTCTGACTTTAAATAATCTGCAGAAGGTTGATAAGCCATAAAAATTAAATCTATTAATCAAACAAAAAAATGAAAGGTTTATTTACGTATGGATGATTGGTATGTTCACTTTCTAATGTTTTTGTTTACCTAACGTTTTGTATATTAAAAATAACTTAATTTTTTTTTTGTGTGCTTCTAAAATATGTAATGTGTATAAATAATGTTTATATGTACATTATGTTCAAAAGGTTGTCATAGCTAGATGTGATAGTGGGGACAAGCTCCCACTGTCCATAAAATCCTTCTGTGGCAGGCATCTCAGATAGGCTCTGAAGTCTCCAGTCTGGAGAATGGGTGAAGGCAGATAACTGGCGCCTCAATAGCCCAGGTAGGCAGTCCATCTAGGAGAAGGAAAACCCTGATTTTAAAAATCTGTTGCCTTGTAGTCATATCCAATCAAAAAAAGAAGCCTATGGAAGTAAATCTAGACAGAAAACCTGGAATGGAGCTCTGAAGGCAATTGGTTGTCAACACTGACAACTTTCCGGCAACTCCCACAGCCAAGCCAACCCCAAATGTAATGCCCTGTATTACTTTGGACCTTGTCGGTAAGGCCAAGAGGAAGGGGCAAGTAGTCTGGGCAGTGCACAGCCGCTATATACCATCGTCTAGGTCTGTGTGCTGGAGAGGTCATTCCACTCTCACCACTAAAGGACTGAATTTGGACCAAACAGAGTGCTGTCTTTATCTTGTAAGATAAATGAATGTTTACTATTATATCTGCTTATGATCAGTATCTGTGCACTCTGCCTAGGATCAAAGTGTAACATCGGTGTTAACTGTGAAAAGCGTTACCCACACCATGTATATATCATTTTTTTTTTTTTTTTTTAATATGTGGTTTTATAATTCGCAGATCCTTTGTGAAACATTCAAAAGTGTTTAATTTCTTCTCAACATTACAAATTTAATGATTATATTATTTTCAGAAATTGTAAATGATTGGTTGTTGATGCCAGTTTAGCAAATGACAGTACAAGGCCATCATTAGTGTTGGGGGTGGTGGTGGAAAAAAAAGGCCTTCTTCTATTTCAAATATAAAAAAAAAAAATAATTTTCTAAATTTTAAGAGTTGGGTTCAGTTTGATATATATATATTCATTCATTGTAAATTGCCCCCATGCCCCCCCCAATAATGATAAATAAGGGAAATAATAATAATAATAAAGGGAAAATGTAAGAATATGTTCCAAATTAATTAATTTTGTGGATGTTTTGGAATTATTTGAAATTTTGTATGTATGCATGCATTATTTTAATACTGCTCAGGGAAAAGGTAAGAAAAAATCTCGTTTATCACATGGCATAAGCATATTTTTGGGGTTTGTGTTGAGGGATCAATTTGCAATAAATTCACATAGCAAATTAACCCCTCCCCGGCTGCCTTTAGAAAATTAAGAAATTGTGTTGTTTATGCTTGTGATCAGGAGTGCTTATTCAATATTAATTTTGAAAAAAAAAATGATCATTTCATGGAAAAGTGTTTTTTTTTTTTTTTTTTTTTTGTAAAATCCATGGAATTTCTAAGCATATAAAGAAGTTATGTAAGAGTCAGAGTAACTGTATTTACTTGACCCCCCCACTGAGTCAGGTTGTGACACATGGTCGGTTTTTAACGTGGTGACTCGAGTGTTTTCACTCGGGTCACTGGTCTTAGCTGGTCAAAGTTGGTCTAAGCTAGTCATAGCTGGTCTTGGCTTGTCCTAGCTGGTCCAGGCTGGAGCTGGTCCAAGCTAGTCCTAGCTGTGATACCACCAGTGCCAGCAGAGTAAGTGCGTAGTGCCGTCATTTTAATTTGCATATTCATAAGTTTGTTTAGTCATTCTTGGATCAGATTAAAAACATTTTTTTGCTTTCTTGACTGGCCACATTCTAAATGTTCTTGCATCCATTTTTTAGTCTTTATAAATGTTTAGCGAGCATCAATAAATGTCTTTGGGCGTTGTTTCTCCTGTATTGAAAAATTTAATGACACGTGTTTTGTACTCATTTTCATGTCAAAGATGAAATTGGTGGGAAGGTTCATCCTCTCCTGTCATATGACTAACATTCACTTCTGCCATTGTGGTCCAAAATAATAAAATAGATGTTTCTTTTGAAGTAACCCTCATACAGTTGATGTTGAAAGAAATGGTCAGCTCTGTTCTTCATTTCAATAGTGTAAAAATGATATAAAAATGGTAACAAATATTCTGATTGAACCGATTCATGAGGTGAATTATCAAGTAAATGTGTGTAACATCAATTGAAACGCTTTCTTAAAATTCACTTTCAAAACAAAATCTTTTTTATTTGATTTATAACTCGGTTTTTTATTTTATTAATATATATATATATTCATTGGTTTTGTTTTTTCTTCTTCTTCCTAAAAACAATACCTTGTCTTGGCCACATGTAGGAAATTCCATACAACCAAGCATACCTGATCTATAACATCAAATAGCCCAAGTGTAGACTTGATTAGCTGCCGTTTTCTGGGGGAACTTATATAAAGCACGTCTTAAAGCAAGTAGCAAATTTACTCTGAGTGCAGGCCAAATATTGATCATATTTGGTCGGGTTGCCCATTGAAGAAGTTTGTTGTTTATTTAGACCCGAAACTTCTAATGACATGGGAACAACAACACTGACGATGCACCTAGATTCGGCACTTAAAGGTGTAATTTTAACCACAGTAATTCTCAACCACTATGCCATGGAACAGTAGTGTGACGGCATATGTGTGTGTGTAGAAGTAGTAATGGTACAGTGTTAGTATTTTACTAAATAAGCTGCACAAATAGTTGAATAGAAACCTTGAAATATAGTAAACTCGTATTTGTGTTTTTTTGTTTCTTTTTTTTTTTTTTTTTTTTTTAAATCTATGGTCTTATTTTGTAACATTTAAATGTATAATCTTTAAAAATTTTGCTAAGTGTGCTGTGATACTTTCATTTGTTCCTAGGTGTCAGTCAGTTATATG